ACATACATCATTCAGCAGTGCACAGTGAAGCTCCAACATTCAACTGTACGAACAAGCAATACTTTGAAATGCAAAGTGTGTGTGTGTGTGCGTGTGTGTGTGTGTACGAGAGTCTCTTTAATAAAACATTTCAACTCGAGCGCCAAATTCGCGTGACGCGTTCTCGTGGTAGCCAATCAGCAGTGAGGATCTCAGCCTGCCGTCACTGACATGGAACCACAAAACCAAAACATCAGCCGTTAGCACTCAGAGCTCACAGCTCCTTATATCTGTTCAGAAACTGGACTAAAGTTAAACAAGTACAAAACACAGACTGTCTGTGTCATGGCGAATACAGTCGCTGTTGTATCTGTGTCTGTATCATGTTGCTGTGAGTTTGGACGGAGCAGCTACAACTTTAGCTTAGCCTGATCGATCCATTCTCCATTCAGAAAAACACGCATTTTAAAAGGTTTTTCGCCTGCCGTCCTGTCAAAGCATTGATTCATGGTTTTTACTAACCTTTATCAGTATGTTGTTACTTCGGCATCATTTTGAAACGTGTATTACAATTAAATCACGGTAAAATATGTTCATTTTGTCGCGTCCTGGCCAGCGCGTCTTGTTTGAATGATGCGAGTAAACACAGCTGACAGCCGCGGTGAAACTCGAGCGATTAGAGCAATGCGAATATTCGCATCGCGTCCGGTGTGAACGCAGCATAATGCAGTTCAGAGACCAGACCACTGCTCTGACGCTTTTAAAGCAACTTCGAGATGTTAACAGTGTGAGGGGCACAAGGGCCATGGTGGCCGTAGGACGTACAATTATTTTCGGGACATCACTACCAGACCGAGGGGCCGTCATGGCCACCGTGAAATTCCTACCCTGTTGTCAGTTCATATTAACAAGTCCACATAATACACAAGGCTAAATCAGCTACAACATCTACAAACTAGCTATACAACTTGCAAGGTTTTGGGTTGTGACAATAAGATTTAAATAGTCTAATAGCTTAATCAGCTGTGGAGACCACAGTTCTATTTTCACATGTTGTCAATGGTGAAGGGTTAGGGTTGCCTCTAAAGTAAATATATTTATTTCAAGTTTGCAGTCTTTCTCTCTTTTAAATAAAGTGAAATCACAGAGAAGTAAAGGGATATCGTATACTTAATGTAAGTCGCTTTGGATAAAAGCTTCAGCTAAATGAAATGTAATTGTGGGTACGGCAGGTCTTGTCGACTCATTTCTGTGTATAAGACGTCAGGAGTATTAGCCATGAAACTCCAACTGTACTATGGACTTTGCACAGAACACTGAGCAGTACACTGAAACAACAGTGCTGTTATCAAGGCACTGATAGAGGAGGGGAGATTGGGCCCTCATATATTCTTCTACTGTACTTAAATGATTATTGATGCTTAATACTTTTTATAATTCAAACTTCAGATATTTTCTACACAGTTTTTCATTATTAGCCATATTTCCAAGCCTCAGAAAGCAGCAGCTCTGCTTCCTACAGCTCAGTGATCAGTATTGACTGAAGAGGAAATGAACAATGCCCACTGAGCGGATCTTCATTGTGGAAATAGTTTCAGATATGGTTGAAATAAACAGGAAGTGACAGTGGTTTCCTGTCCACTTATCATTGGCTGGTTTGGAGAGATTGATGCATCTGCTCTCAGTCTCCCTATGCATTTCACCTTCAGGAAGCAGGTGAAATTCCACACAATATTTGTACATGACATCTCATACACCTCTAAAAAGGGATATTTTGTTTGCTTTTTTTCCCCGTGGGTGATCATTCTTATCGATACGGTCTGGTTTCCAAAATAATTCTCCCTGTGTTTCATCAGCAGGAAACCCCTGCTCCTCACTGCAGGACTCACAGGACAACAGAGATCTTAAAGGTGCCATGGAAAATCTGGTAGAAAATACGGTTCACAATGACATGTGAAATTACTGCTCACTAACAGAAATTCTGTTTTTTTGTAATAAAAATAAGTGAGAGTGTGAAAGTGAAACAGAGAAAAAGCATGCCTACTCTCTCAGTATACAATCACAACACACAACCAGCTTGTACACAGGTGGATCCCCTGCATGGAGCCCAGATATCCACCCTGAGATTTCCATCCAGCTGTGAGTTTCCCCACAGAGGCTGGTCCAAGGTCAGCACTCTATCCAGTTAGCTATCAATGTCACACAAGACACCAGTTTTAATCTAATGGGGTGGAAGGAATGTGTTTATTAATGTAATAGTTTATTAGATTCTTTATTTTACATATACAGCACATGCCTTTGTCCCTGGTTCCATTAACTATATACATTTATCTGGTGATGAGAGGTTGTGTCAAATCAAATCAAATCACGTTTTATTTATATAGCACATTTTAAAAACGATTTTTGGTCGAGCCAAAGAAGACAGAAGACAATAAATTACAACAGCAAATATAAAAATCAAACACAGGGAAATGTCAGGAGTCGTGCTCCGCTCCGACTAGAAGGCCAGGGAGAAGAAGTTAGTCTTTAGTGTCGATTTAAAAACCCCTAGGGTCTGGGCCGACCTCACATGGAGGGGCAGAGTGTTCCATAGCCTAGGGCCAGTTGCTGCGAAGGCTCGATGACCTCGGGTTTCGAGCCTGGTCTTGGGCACTATCAGCAGCAGCTGGTCAGCAGACCTTAATGCTCTGGCCGGGGTGTAGCGTTGGAGGAGTTCTGCTATATATGACGGAGCCAGCCCAGTGTCAGTCCCTCCTGCTGCATTCAACTATTTCAGAGCCGGGTTTCTCTCCTTATTACCTAAATTGGCAGTGGCTCAGTCAGTAGGGGCTTGGACTGGGAGCCGTAGGGTCGCTGGTTCAAGTCCCCGACCAGACCTAAATATGGAGTGTGGACTTCTACTTGGAGAGGTCCCAGTTCACCTCCTGCCCTGCCGTGGTGCCCTTGAGCAAGGCACCGGACACCCCCCCTTCCCCCCCACTCCCATTGCTCCCCGGGCGCTGTACAATAGCTGCCCACTGCTCCTAGTACTAGACTCCTTGTACTAGGATGGGTTAAAAGCAGAGGCCAAATTTCACTGTGTGTGCTGTGTGCTCTGCATGTGTGACCATTAAAGAGGGTTTCATCCCTCCCTATTCTAAACGCCTAAAACCATAGATACACAACCACAAAATCGATAGATTACCGGTTATTTTTTAATTATACGAATATTTAAAAAAAGATTACGGCAACCTGTTGCTGCAAATAAGAGAGGTGTGCTGGCAGAGAATTACTAACTGTGTAAATGCACAAGTAATCCATCTATTTTTCTACTGGACAGCTGCCTATTCTGCAGCTCTTAGATTTTGAACTTGATGAAGCAGATTTAAACATAATACGAACTGCACTTAGGTCTGACACTGTCCCATAATGACAGAGACGTGTCAATCACTTTCGTTTTTGGCGAACTAAAGTTGAGATGAAGTGTTTTGATTGAATATTATCTGTGATAAATATCAATAGACTGCACATTTAAAAAAATCGGTTCCATTAGATGCAATGTTCCTTTAGATACAAAGTCTATGGACCTTTACTAGCTCATTTGAAAACAGACCAGTATGAAAACATAATCCAAAGTGCTGACGTTATGATTTGAGGGATATACTGGATATTACATGCAAGTAAGTGTAAAACTAACTAACCATTAATGTATACACCCTGCCCATTTATAGAAGGCTCATTTTAGAGCAGGAGTAGGCAAATGACCAGAGACAACGAGAAAACAGTGGACAACAGTGACGTCCAACTTCCTCACATGTTCTGCATCACAGTGCTTCTGTAACTCCAGGGCTTTGTCCCGTGTCATTAATGTGACTCTAATAATGTATTGCTAACATAGGGTAGCGTTACAGCTCAACAAGATTTCCGTTTAAAGTATTATATAGTATTCCCTCCGCTGACAATCTGTATCTCTCACAGAGCCACTGTTGAAGGTGACACTTTTTTCAAAGTGACTAGTTGGTGAAAGTTGTGTTGTAGTGGATTTCAATACAAACTTTTAACATAAATCTGGACTAGGTTATGTCTGCAGCTTAAGTTGCAATGGTGATGTACTAGTCAGGGTAAAGGAGAGCTACCTTTGTTATACAGAAAACTCTGGCTTTATTCATCTAATCATCTACTCAAACATCGAGTAAGCAGCTGGCTTTAAAAGCAACAGTGAGGCTGGGCTGCCCTTTTCCTATTTCTATTCCCACTGAGCATTGCGTCTGATTGGGACACGTGTCACATGTAGATGCATCTTATTGACAGAGAGAGAAAGAGAACATTTTAATAAGATAATAACAAAACTTATACTAATGATTGAAGCTCTACAAAACAAGTGGGCCCAACTGTCAAACCCAGCTCTTTCTGGTCTGGTAGAAGAATTCATCTATGCACAATGGTCCAATCAGCGGGCTGCACTGCCTTAAAAAGTAAGCAGGTGTTAGGGATAGGAATACACACTGCATCTGTCAATAAGAACCCTCTACAACAGTTTTAAGTATTAAGTAAATTAGTCAGGTAACACTTATCAATTATTGGTTATAATCAAACAGACAAAGATTGTTTAAATACAAAGATTCCATAAGAATTGTATTATATGTTTTCCTGGTCGGTGTCTAACGTTAGCACATGGTGTTAAATTAGTGTGTTGAGAGGTAATAACTCTGCCGGATGTTTCATGGATATCAGTGTTTCGTAAACGCTCTCAATTAAACTCAATCAAACAATGTGTGTTACTTATTCAAGAATACATTTCATGTTCTATTATTTTAACAGAGTTCGGTGCGTTGTCTCCGTACGAAACAGACTTAACTAAATAGAAAAGTGACGTTCCACAGACAGCTTTACCTCCAGAGGACCGTGTCACAGCCCCCTCAGCTACCTGTAGTAATCTGAAGTTTGGTACCAGTAATTCTGTCTGATCACGGTTCCATTATCGCAGCTGCACACTGGGTCCGGACTGAACAGTGGTTGTGTTCTGGAGGAGGACGGCTCACCTGACTGACTTTGTGGAACTGCTTCTTCAGCCCGGCCACAGACATCTTCCCCAGCCGTGTGAGGCGTCCCTCCTAGAGGAAGTGTTCCGTGAAGCCCCGAATAAACCCGGGGAAATGTCTGCTGAAGAAAGAGCCCGCGAGTCCTCACACCGCCCTCATCTGTCACTACACCTTCATCACAGCAGGGCGGCAAACTGGGCCGCCACAACCGGATTATCAGTGTCACAACAAGTAAAGCGTCACATTGTATATTGGGAATCGACGCTTCTCATTTCTTTACTTGTATTACACATCAACCGTACAACAGGAACAACGTTACTTTAGTCAGTTTGGTAGAATGTTAAGTTCAGTATTCATAAAACAGTTTTCAGTTGTAAATTTACATTGCGATACATTTTTTGACCTGTCTACTTTTTTCATTAATCTCATTCAGTTGAATACTCAAACTATGTTTGGGAGGTTTCATTACAGTTCTCAGTCACAATTGTCATCAATTACAGACACATTTCTTGACACCTTTTTGCAAAGTCAAATAGGGAGTCTGCTCTCATTAAGATTCAAAAGGTTCAAAGGCTTTATCATCATCATATGCACAGGAGCTATAGTGTAGATATGGCAATGAAAATGTAAATATACAGGCAACACGAATTATATAAATAAAAACAAAACAAATGTCTAGACAGAATGTTGATACATATTGCTGAATGTATACATACACAAATGCCCGAGGTGTGTTAAATGGGCTATATCCTGAGTCCTCTGCTGTACACTGATTTAACCTGTTTGCCTTGATTAAAAGTAGAAGTACCAGAGTGTAGGAATACTCTGTTACAAGTAATAGTCCTGCATTCAAAATGTTTCTCAAGTAAAAGTAGAACAATATTATTATCAGTATAGTGAAAGTAGCAAAAGTAAAAGTAGTCATTGTGCAGATTGGTCCATTTCAGAATAATATATATGATATGTTTTATAATGATTGATCATTAAAGTGTTCTCAAAGCTGGTAAAGGTGCAGCTAGTTTGAATGGCTTTGTATACTGCAGGGTAGCTTGTGAATTTACTCCAGGTGGAACTAAAGTCTGATTTAACACTTGATTATATTTCACATCATTCATCCAAATCTGTAAAGTAACTAAAGGTATTAAATACATGTAGTGGAGTAAAAGTACACCATTTACCCCTGAGTTGTAGTGGAGTAGAAGTACAAAGTAGCATAAAATGAAAATGCTCAAGTAAAGTACAAGTTGAAGTACCTCAAAATTGTAGCTACTTAAATACACTTGAGTAGACTTACCACCTCTGCTTATTTGTGGTCAGAATAAAACTAATTTGCCAGATTGAATTGCAGTAGTAGGCCTATAAACATATATTTTACTGCAGAACAAAGACTGATTTTCTTTCCCTTCCTATTTAGAAAAAAACAATTCTGTGTAACGTTATGTTAAAGTGCCCATGTCATGCTTTTCTGGTTATTACCCGTCCCCTTGTGTGTTATGTCGCTTTTTCTGCATGTAAACGGTCTGCAAAGTCACAAACCCTCAAAGTACACCCTGTAGCGAGTAAAACTCTAACACAGAAAAGACCTGTCGATGCTGCCCCAGAACGCCTCGTTGGAGATTTCTCTTTTTCCATTGTCTTCTTCCTGGGTACAGTGACGTGCCCATACCCAAATGGACCAATCCGTGGAGCTCCTCACACACACACACACTCTCTCAACGGCGAAACTGTGGTGCTAGTGGAAACTGTGGCGCGCGTACCCCTTGATTCCACCGGGTCCGTCTGCGCCGCATCACGGCTGTGCCGCGGTTTTGGTCCGACCTCCCCCAGTGTCATAACCCACCGAGCGCGTTTCAGAAGCATTTCAGAAGCGGAGCGTCTTGCGTGCCGGCTCGCAGTTTTTGTTGATTTGGGCATATTTCCTGGACAGGCTACTTTGTACAGACAAAGTTAATAATAATTGTAATATTCCAGTTATAAACGACATGAATCAAAGATGTGTTGCTGTATTTTAGTGGTAAAAAAATGCATTCATCATCATAATTATTCTATATATATAATTGACACAGTGCCTGTAAACCGGAGGAGAACGCTGGCATTTCTCCTCCTACTTGAAAGACTACGGAGGGATAGGGTCTGCAAAATTAGTTTATTTTGGGGATTGACTGGATGCTCTGACCGGTCCACTTCCTGCCCGGCGCTATGCAACGCCTCGCGTCGCGTAGAAAAAGATAGACTTGCATCCTATTTTGAGCGGAGCCCAGCGCTGAGACGCTTCTGGGACGCTTCTGAGCCGTAACGCGGCACGTCTGGTGGAATAGCACCCATTGACTAGAGTGGCCGCGATCGCTGTGAACGCCGCGGCGCGGCCGTAACGCGGCCGTAACGCGGCCGTAACGCGGCGCAGACGGACCCGGTGGAATCTAGGGGTCACACTGTAGGTGCGCCGCGTTTGGGGGTGCGGGGGTTGCGGGTGCTAGTGGAGCCTCGCAGATGGGGGTGCTGCAGCCCCCTCAGCATCCCCCCCTTCCCGAGTCCATTCGCGATGTCTCGCAGACCCCACGCAGCAAGCAGGAAATGAACCCAGCTCACACTGTCCGCTCCTCGCAGCAGCGAGCCGTGCAACGTCCTGCCAACACGGCACCCAGACCCCACGCAGAATTCTCATCTGTTTGTCCTTACTGGTGTCATTTTCTGTTTGCTAACGCCATTGTAACACATAATCACTGGTGTTCCGCTTTAACGGTGGTAGACCATAGTGGTAGTCTCATCAGAACAGAGTGGGCGAGCTGACCAATAAGAGCACAGTGGGCTCACAGGGAGGGGGGGGGGGGGGCGGCAGGAGCTCCAACAAGCCGTTTAGGACAGAGAGTGAATACACATACTATACAGAGATGCTGTATGAGAAACCAATGTGAGTTTGGAAAATTGCACAATATAAATCTATTCTAGTATACAGTGGCGTTTTTATATGTACAAAAGTGGTGGGGCACAAAAAACTTAGATGTCTATATATAAGCTTCTGCAGTGACGTGCAGTGAGGTTCATGGCTGCTGAGGCACTGGCACTGACTCTTCAGGTTTACAAATATTATATTTTGACCTAAACCAAAATATAATATTATTTTCAAAAGCTTTTTTTGTCTGATGCTTCGATTAATTTTAAACAGACAGTTCAACAAAAGGATACCCAAAAAATGTAATTTTATCATTTAAATATTGAATTGTTCTCTCTTAGTAAGATCCCATTTTCAATAAAATTGCGGTCTTACCTTGACTTGAAGATGAAGTCCATTTGCCTATCCTTCTGGACAAACATTTCTATAACTTTTTTGTAAAAGTCCTCCTTATCTTCTTGTAGTTTCAAAAGTCTATCATAAATCTAATCGATAGATTTATGATAAAAAAATTATAAAAGTAGGGAAGACATGTGGATGTTATCCGGCTGAACAAAACGTGCATTTATCTAACAGGTACGTTTCCCACAGATCTTATTTCGAGCTATTTTCTAAAATCCTATGGAGAAACCTCATTGCTTTTTTGTTGAGGGAAGCCATAAGCAGCTTACTTCCTGGTTTTAGGACGCGGCACACGTACTTACAGCCAATCAGCTCTGAATGATGTGAGATGACGTATGGTGGGGATGGCAGCTCAGTGCCCCTATGGTTATTATTTTTTTGCCACACACATTAAATAGGAAAATACTCTGAGCATGCGCAGTGTAGTTTTTACAGTCACCGTTCACTTCACAGCGAGAGGAAGGGGCATGATCAGGTTTTGTCCCACATGGCTCTAAGCAGCTCAATAGGCACACACTGTGACTGTAGACACACTAATTAGAAGAACACAGACTAAAACAGCAATGTACAGACGAATCAGATGATTAAACATGATCTTAAAATATATTTTATATTTTTTTTTTTTTTTTTTTTTCATTTTTTGTAATCATTATTTGTAATACTTTCTGCTGACACTAGGTGGGGCTGTGCCCCACCTGCCCCTAATGACCAGTCGCCACTGCTAGTATACCTCAACAATGGAATTATGATCAGTAGAAATGGGTGACATGGGACCTTTAAACAAACCACTATCTGAGGATTATACAAGCAACCATAAAACACCCTTTACTAGAGAGCCATTGAAGCCCATGAAGAATGTATCCTTCCACAAATCTTTTCAACTGCTGTATTCATAAAGTTGCCACGTGTTTTCAAATTTAAGTTAAGGCACTATCTGTGCAGAAAATTAAAAATATTCTTCATTTGCAGTATTTTTTTAAAAAGGTGTTCAGAAAGATTGCATCAATTATATGCTATATATATAATATCAATATTTTTATTAAAGGTGGGGTAGGTAAGTTTGAGAAACTGGCTCGAGATACACTTTTTGTTATATTCCATGGAATGCTCTTAACATCCCGATAGCAATGAATATCTTAAGTGCTTTGACAAAAAATCCATAAAAAAAATTCATCTGTGGAAGCCGTAATACTGTAAAAAGCACGACCAATCATTTTAGCCGACCCGGCTAAAATAACTGGATGGCCTACCTGCCTGTCAGCCTTCCATTTGTGCACAAACTTATCTCGTGCCCTCATTGGTCATGTGCACGTTCGGGGAGGGGCTCTGTAAGGAAGTGGCAGATTTTTTCCGGCTGTGTATTTTCAAATTCTAGCGATCTCGAGCTGGTTTCTCCAAAATTACCTACCCCACCTTTAACAAACCAAAGTCAATTTAAATAGCGGGCAAAAATTGGTTAATTGCCATGCATGTGGTGTTTGATATAGTTTACGTTCAATTTCAACTATTTTAGGCAGAAAAACGTATATAGACTAAACCTTTTTTAATAATTTACTATACTTTAGAAAGGTTTTTGTGAGAAATCATTTCAAAAGTAAACTTTTTTTTCATTTTATATTTAAATTTGAAATGTTTGCACACAACATTTTTATAATTTATACATTTTTATCAATTTTTTAAAATTATGAATAGATTTATTTTAATGTATTTCCTTGAGGCTGGGGAAGATATATCAGCATGTAGTTCAACATGCAAATGTTCTAATGCAAATAAGTATAAGTATAACATGGAAAAGGAAATAAAATATGTTTCATAGGAGGATGTGGATTTATTTTTCTCTCACCTTGTAAT